CCAGCCCCTCAGCCGGCAAAGGAGAAGAAGAGGAAGGGGAAGGGTGCACAGACTGACTGGAGGACTCGACAGAGACAGCAGCCGATTCCACCATGCCCGACTTGTGGTCGACTTCATCGGGGAGAGTGCCATGTGTGACAGGATATCTGCTACTATTGCCACGAGCCGGGACATTTTGCGAGTCGCTGTCCGAAGAGACTCCAGCAGCAGCCCCAGCAGCCTCAGCAGCCACCACAGCAGCAGCAGCCACGTCAGCAGGCACAGAGGTCGCTTCAGCAGCAGCAGCAGAGGGGCAGGCAGCAAGCCAAGGTTTACGCGGTTGATCAGGCAGAGGCAGCACAGCAGCCAGGTACTATGTCAGGGATGGTTATTCTCAATAATATTCATGTGTTTGCTTTATTCGATACTGGAGCAACACATACTCTCATTTCATGACGATGTCTCGATGCCATCGGAGTTCACGCCATTACCGCTGTCGATCCTCTCGAGGTGAGTTTAGCCTCGGGACGAAAGATAGTGACCTCAGTTAAAGCCTCAGATCTTAGCCTTTCCATCAATGGCCGAGTATTGACTGCCGACGCATTTGTTCTCGAGATGAGGGACTTCGACCTTATTCTCGGAATGGATTGGCTATCCTTTTATCATGCAGACATCAGGTGTCATGACCGAAAGATCACTCTTTATCTTCCGGGAGATGAGTCGATTACTTTCTTCGGCTCCAAGAATCGTTCACTGCCTCAGGTTGTTTCGATGGCGAAAGCCACTAAGTTACTGCGACGAGGCAACTGCCAGGGTTATCTGGTGAGCCTTATCGATGATTCTCAGAAAGCGCGAACACCTCATGATGTTCCAATTGTCCGCGAGTTTGTGGACGTGTTCCCAGACGAGCTTCCAGGAGGACCGCCTAACCGGCAGGTGGAGTTCTCTATCGATCTTATTCCAGGGGCCGGACCAGTATCCAAAGCCCCGTATCGTATGGCGCCTAAGGAGTTGCAAGAGCTTAAGACCCAGATTCAGGAGCTGTTACGACTTGGTTTCATCCGACCGAGCCTGTCACCTTGGGGAGCACCCGTTCTCTTTGTTAAGAAGAAGGACGGATCTATGCGTATGTTTATTGACTACCGGGATCTTAACCGGTTGACGATCAAGAACAAGTACCCGCTTCCCAGGATCGACGACTTATTTGATCAGTTGAGGGGAGCCTGTGTGTTCTCAAAGATTCATTTACGATCAGGCTACCACCAGCTGAAGATTAAGGAGTCAGATATCGCTAAGACCGCTTTCAGGACTCGTTACGGCCATTACGAGTTCGTTGTCATGCCTTTCGGTCTCAGCAATGCGCCAGCTGTTTTCATGGACCTCATGAACCGTATTTTCCATCCCTACCTCGATCAGGTCGTTACTGTTTTTATTGACGATATCCTTATTTACTCAAAGAGCCAGAAGGAACACGAGGAGCATCTGAGGGTGGTTCTCGAAACCCTCAGACGAGAAAAGTTGTACGCCAAATTCTCCAAATGTGAGTTCTGGCTCCAGCGAGTATCCTTTCTGGGTCATGTGATTACTTAGGCAGGCATCGAGGTGGATCCTTCCAAGGTCTCAGCCGTTCAGAACTGGTCGACACCGAGGAGTCCGTCCGAGGTTCGCAGTTTTCTCGGTTTAGCTGGTTATTATCGCAGGTTCATCGAGAGTTTCTCTAAGATCGCTTTCCCCCTATCCCAGCTGACGAGGAAGTCTGTGAAGTTCGAGTGGACTAATCGTTGTGAGGCGAGCTTTCAGGAGCTCAAGAGGAGGTTAACTTCAGCACCGGTGTTGACTATTCCCGATCCTTCTCGGAGTTTCACTATCTTCAGCGATGCTTCGAGACAGGGCTTGGGATGCGTCCTTATGCAGGACGGACAGGTCGTTGCGTATGCTTCACGTCAGCTTAAGCCGCATGAGCAGAACTATCTGACGCACGACTTGGAGTTAGCAGCAGTCGTTCATGCTCTCAAGATCTGGAGACATTATCTTTACGGCGGACGTTGTGAGATTTTCACAGACCATAAGAGCCTGCAGTACATCTTCACGCAGAAGGAGCTCAATATGAGACAGCGCCGTTGGCTCGAACTTGATAAGGATTACGACTGCTCTATTCAGTATCATCCGGGAAAGGCGAACGTCGTCGCGGACGCCCTTAGCCGAAAGGTGAAGGGTGACTTGACGTACGTCATTACTCAGGAGAGTCCGTTGATTCACGAGTTTGCCCGGATGCAGCTTCAGGCGATAGATGCACTTCCCATAGCCGTTTCGGGGAGTACCAGTGCCAGTATCAGTGCTATG